CTCTATGAGGTAAAACAAAAAAGCAATTAATTAAGTATAAATAAGATGCATATTAAGAGCAAGCAATGTAACTGTTTATTATTGCATTCTACAGTTGATGATACTTGTATAAACATTAAAGTTGAGTTGTCGCTTGTCTGATACAAAGTTGAGTTGTTACTACAATATAGGTATTGTTTGGAAGTAGTAAGGTGAAAAATATGCCGGGAATCAAACCGCAGACCTGTCAATTATGCGTTGAGTGTGTTCACCACTACACCACAACGGCTTGTTAAGAAGGTGGGAGAAACACCTTATATACTCCCCTTTTTAAAGGGTAAGTGGGGTTTTTTAGGGGATGTAATCGCCAATCCCTGGGTGAGGAGAATCATCGTCCAACATCCTTTTAATTTGAGCGCCACTGTAGAGACATTAGGTATAGTTTGGAAGCAGGTAAGATGAAAATATACAATGACTTTGCCGAGAATTGAAATGCAGACCTCTCAGTTACGTGCTGAGTGTGCAGATCACTACACCACGAAAGCTCGTTAAGAAGGTGGAAGAAATACCTTATACCATAATGGTAGAGAATTCTCTCGCATGAAACGAAATTTCGGAAACCAAGTGACTTCTTGGTTCTTCACGCTTCTGATTTGACCCATAGGTGTTATGAGCAATTTGGCACTAAAATACTGAAAGGATAGAATGCCAAAAAGCAATAAATAACTAAGGCTCTCGGCTGTCACAGCGATGCTCTTTTGTATGTGACAAGAAATTACAGCTCCTCATGTGATATCATCATATCAAGAACACTCACTTGAGATAAAACTGACAAACTACGTCACTCATACCACCTGTGGCAGCTCGCTTGATAAGTGTACAGTGGGTGCAACTAGCCACATCCAACAAATGGAAGCTGAACGACGATCAACCATATCAAAACATGGCAACAAGTCGTGCCTTCCATTAGCATACAGATGCTGAGGAGAGGGTGTATGACATCCAAGGAGCCATTAAATGGTATCATGTTTGAAGAAATCAGAAGTCTTGAATTTGGTCACAAGAGCTCTTCTGCTGTAGTGGTAGAGAATTTCACTCCTATGTCACAGCCTGAAATTCTGTCCCAACACTTTGGATTCGATCCGTCGATGTCACCACGAGGAAGCCATCCTTAGAGCACTAAAAGCATTGCACAACTGTGAGCTATAAATCACCATGGCACTGCGGTCGCCACATTGCATGCAAGAAGTACTCATGAAAGTACACTCACTTCCAAAAGTTAAGCACGAAGATGTAAAATGCAAAAAAATCAACAAATACTGCTTTGATTGACACAAAATTCGGCAGTAAAGTAGCATATATATTTATGTGTAAAGCAATCAATAATTATATACAGAAATGAAAACAATATTAAATTCTTGTAAGTTATCAGATAATGACATACTGGAGACTTAAACAGAATTATGTATAAACTGAAAATAAACAGCATAAAATGAAAACAAAGGACATTAATAGAGTATGTGATCCCCCCTCATCTGTATACACAGACACCTTGTGACCATGCTTTCAATTAGGTGGTCAACCACCGCAGAATTAAGCAATTGCCATTCTTCTTGTAGAGCAGTTTCCAGCTCAATAAGAGTGGCTGGAGGTGGGAAACGTGAAGATACAGCACGGCTGAAAGCATCCCAAAGATTTTCAATGGGATTAAGGTCGGGCAAATATGCTGGCCGTGCCATACGCACAATCCCTTCACTCTCCAGGTAGTCATCGACGATGTCAACTCTATGGGGACGTGTGTTATCGTCCATTAAAACAAAAGTAAGGCCAACTGCTACAGCATACAATCTGACAATGGGTTCTAGGACTTCATCTCGATACCGGACAGCCGTTAAAGAACTTTGTTTAAAGATGCGCAAGTTGGTGCAGTATCCTAATGAAACCCCTGCCCACACCATAATGCTTCTGCCTCAGAATGAGTGATGTTGGCTGATGTTTTGGGACTGATTGCGTGTTCGTTGTTTATGCCATATATAGACAGTACACTTGTCATATATATAGACAGTACTATAGAGCAAATCTTGACTCATCAGTAAACCTGACATTGCCCCAGTCAGACGCATTCCAATGACATGTTTTCGGTACCACTGTAATTGTGTCCCTCTTGATTGGACATATAGAGGAACACAAACTCGAGGTACCCGGGCGTACAGTCCACTGCTATGTAATCTTCAGAGTACAATAGCTGCAGATATCGCCTTACCAATGGACGTTGTAACCATAGATGTCACGTATGGAGGTCACTCTGCGATTCCACTTTGCTACAATAGCAATATATTGATCTTCCGCGTGGGTTGTAACAATCGGGCGACCAGCCACAGTCCTTCAGACAACTGTCTGTGTGGTTTGGAATTGTTGGAAATGTTTCCATAAACGTGAAATTACAGAATGATGAACGCTGAAGAAAGAGCAACATCTGTGATCGATTGTCCTGCTTCAATGCGGCCCACAGCACGCCAGCGCTCAGAATCTTCCATTCGTCTTCTGGAAGTCATAGAAACATGTATGTCTTGAAAGCAAATTGTATGAAAGTTTTAAACACCTTCTATCAGCACTTACAATCAACTTCTGTAACCCTTCATAAAGCTGGCATCTTATAAGACTGCCTTTTTTGCATATTTCTTGACATGAAAGCAGGATTGGCTGTTACCTAACATATTTGCATACTTCCCTCTACCTTTGCAGCGAATTGCATTCTCTTCAATTCTGATTGACTTATTAGCATTTTCCTCTCGGTATCCTCTCCCTTTCTTCCTTTTGGAAGTGAGTGTAAAAATGAATCTATCTTTCCATTAGTTTGGCACTGATGTCTCCATCAGCAGTTTTGTTGTTTTTGTTTTGGTGACAAGGCCACATCATTCTCTGTTTAAAGAACTGAAAAATGCTGACATTAGCAGAAAATGTACTGACACATTTGAAAAACGGTTACTTTCCAGTTATGCACCTGCCAGGCTATTTGCCATATGGCAGGTGGTGATCTATTTGTTCATCATCTGTTACACCTATCTTTACCCTATCACCCATCTTTAGAGTATTTTTATAACTATAAATTTTTTAACCTGCCAAAATGTATATCAGGTGCACAAGAGAAAAGTGTTGAATAAGAAATAATACCATAAATTGAAAAATTTAATTTAAACAAGAAAGCAGCATTTGTATAATATACAGAGGATGTTGTTCACACATTTTTGTAATGATTTGGGAAATATATATATATGAACAAACCATAGATTTTCAGAGTAGAATCAGATTGAAAATGTTCACTCTGAACATTTTCAATCTGATTCTTTTTTGAACTATCCTATCACATCCCTTTTTTGATCCCTTGAGCCCTTTTTTGAACTATCCTATCACATCTTGATTTCCAAGGTAAAAGTCCTTTTCTTCAAACATCAAGGTTGATTTTATTTCACTCCTCCTTCATAATCTTCCAGAGTTCATTCAATGTTTTGGGATGCCGCTTAAAAAGAGCTTGTTTTAAAAGTCCAAATGTACAAATCCATAGGAGAGACATCAGGGGGCTTGGATGGGATACATTTAAAAGGAATAGCTTCAATTTTGTTTTATTTCTCATTTTTTCAAAAATAGAGCAGTAGATTTAGAAAAATGGTTTGGAGCCGAAGCCTGATGAAATTTAACATGGTGAAGATTGTTTGGATAAAGAGATGAAATTTCTTCTTTAAAAGTAGATGATAAAAAATATTTCTGGTAGTAATCTGAATTAATTTTGACATTTTTTTTCTACTGTCCTTGTTTTAAGTTTCCCGTTATAAGAGAATCCATTTAGATAAACTTTCCTCTGAACCAACATATTAAGTCTTTTTCGGTAATAAATTGTTTTTTCTATTATAATCAGATAAGTCTATTTAAGCCTGATCAACTGTAACTATATATTTAAATTTTTCTTCTGCCAAATAATTTTCATACAGCAGTCTGCACATAGTCTTATGCTGAGAAACTTGTTTCGTTATTAGGCGATGAACATCATGTTTCTTTGTTGTGATTAGCCTTAAATCAGATTTTATAATTTTGTTCACATTTCCTAAAGAGATATTTAAAGATTTTGCAGTAGATCTTTGTGTGGCTGGATTTTCTTTTAAAACATGAGATGTGACTTTAGATTTAACGAGAGCTGTATATACCTTTGTTTGCTGTGCATTTTTTGCCCTTTCCTCAGTCAGATGTAAACTCTGACGTTTCTTTCCTTTCATGTTAATTATGCCACTTATTTTACGTGTAGAAATATTACAACCATGCTTTCCACATCTTTTTTTTAAATAACTGAATAAGAGCACTTTTCTTTTTGGATAGTGCAAAAATATAGCCTTTGATCCATTCTTTATTTTTCAGCGGCATTAAAAAAATAATAATGCTGCTGACAATAATTAAACCTTATTACAATTTGATGTGAGTCATGTTTGTATTTTTAAATTAATATTTAAATTCATGGAGAAAATCAAAATCGTTATGAAAATATGTAAGCCCCCTCTGTACATTTGCAGAAAAGAAAAATTAACTTTATTTGGGAGATTGGAATTACCAATGTCACTTAAATTGAATCTCGGCAATATTTAAAACATTCAATACCGATAGAAGCTTTACACTGCCATCAAATGTCATTTCTAAAACGCAACTTCATTTTGTGAGTTTTTGCACAGATTACATTATGATGTAACATTTATTTCCTTTGGATTTGCATTAGTGCTTAGGTACTATTTTTTTTCCAGTATTAATTTTTGTCTCATATCAAAGATTTTTTATCTTATTGGAAGTTTCAGCTTTTACTACTGCTTTTTGAAAAGTGCTGTCATATATGATGCATAATTTCTATTTTGTGCTAATATTATATAGTTCTTATGTTATTGTGATGTAATATATAATATTGTGTTTCTGCTCTGTCCATTTATTTTTAATTATTTGATGTGATCGCTTAAAACATTTTTGGATAATTTATATTGTAGGTGGTACTGCATGTAAATTTGGAGAGCCAAGACTGCTTGGTTCCAGTAATGATGAAGACTTTTTGGTATGTACTATCATACTGAAAGAGATGTATAGATTATAAAAATTTCAGACATGTATTTAAACTATGTAATAAGTGTTTGTGTGGGAGCTTTATTGAGAAAACTATTTATTTTGCAAACTGAATGATTATAAATATAATTTTTCTCTTACTGTAAATATTTACGTCATCTTTGGATAGTAAGAGAATATCCAATACGACCTTCGGTAGTTAATAGAATTTACCATCAGCAAATTTGTTAAATTTAGCCCACTTCTCTTTCAAATTATTACATGTGTCTCTCTAAAGTTTGTATTTAAATATTTATGCTGATTGTTGAGAGTAAGAACTCCATAATTTTTAACCTTTTCTGTTGTTCTCTTAACTTGTTTGTTAATGAATCTGTTGTTCTTTTAACTTGTTTACAGCTTTGAACTTGTAGATTTTTAACTGCTTAGTATCTCTTGTTCCTTTTTGAGCTTTTAAAATTTTTTTTTATTTCTTAAAAATGATATTTCTTGAAGCTATAATAAAAATAAAAATTTTGCTTTTCACTTGACATGTTTCTTTAAATCTTTATGAGTTCATAATGTTTTGTACCCATTTATATCTTATGCTTTGTTTTGAAAATGAAAATGAAAAGTTATATTGCTTCACTTACAGAATTTTCTTTTTTCTTTGTTATATATTAGTTCCATGCTGTTTTCTTTCTGTTTGGCGGGAAAGCTGTTAATATTTCTTTATTATTTTTTGTATTTTATCTTGTTCACAAGTGGTTAGTATGTCATATTTCTTGTTGAATTTTATATTTCTGAATTTTATATTCATTCATCAACATTTTTCATTTTCACACGTGAAGAATATTTCAACTTTGAAAATGTTTAGGTTTTATTTGAAAAAAGCAATGTCTGCTATGTAATGTTTTACAATAAAATGACAATAATGAAATTTTTACATAATTTTTAGAATTTGACCTGTGTTTAGAAAATGAATCTAAAATGATCTGCCTCATTTAAGTATGTATTATTTAACTCGGAACAATGATTTCTTGATAAATATTCTTTGTTTTTTTTCAAACAGCTGTCAGAAGACTCTAAAGTGCAACTCTTGCCTCAAGTGATTACATCAAATCAAACTTTAACATCAGTGACCAGTTCAACAAATTCATTAATGCCTCTTGCTCCAAATGCAGTACGTAACATTCATTCCCACTCCTAAAGGATAATGAATTTTTTAAAGAAATGTGTATCTTTATTGGAATATTTGTCAAGTGTGATTTTGCATGTGCACTTTTATCTTGGTTTCATTTAATTTGTCCAGCACTAGAATTTCATTCATATGTGGTTCAAAGTTCATTCATCAACTTTGAATGATTGCTGGCATTAACTCTGCAAAAAGTTATCAATAATTTTAAAGTATTTTTATTGACTATAAAGAAAGCTCAAAGAAACCATACAAATTGCAAGAGTGGAAGAAGGAGATGCCAAAGAATTAATAATGAAATGATAAATGAAGAATTGGATGATCTTATAACACTGGCCAATAGTGTGAAAGTAGTGATAATGAAGATAAAGCACCTTTAACTTGCAAGACGTTAAGTGAAATGTTAAAAAATAGCATGAAACTGTCTTAATTTTAAAATGAGGTAATCCAAAAGCAGAAAGAAGAGAACACTTTGTGATACTTCTTTAGCAATTGGAAGTAAACTCCAATGATGGAACACAGCAATAACTTTTATTTTGCACTCAAAAAAATGGTGACATACAAACAAGAAGAGAAAACATATTCTAACATTTAAAAATAAATTACATTCTTCGTGCGAGAGTCGCACGTGGCACTCGAGTCTGGTTTCAAATATTGCCATACACAAATACCTTAATGTTCATCTATTTAAATTGTTTAAACTACAAAATTTTTATATTATTTAAAGCTGTTACAACCTCTCCCCAACGGAGAGACTTTTTCCGAAGGGAAAGTTCTGTAAAATTCGACAATTTAATAAGCTCCGGCTTGCTCAGTTATTGCTTAAGAGAAGGAAAGGTAACTTCTCTGATCATAAGTTTCCAAACTTTCAGGCCAAAATTTTTCAGTTTTCAACCAAATAATTTTACACCACATTTAAATAGGAAGAAAATGGACAATGCATTCAAATTAGTCTTCCCCCCCCTTTTTTTTTTGGCGGAGCCTAGATCGCAGGCGGTGCATGTTGGATCAGTTCCTCGGCTATAATTCACAACAAAGCCTTTCCTCAGTTCATTTGTGCCTTTCGGATAATATTCAATTTTCTTTTGTTTTCGACAATTGTTTTCTTCGTATATTGGAAACGGCTTTGATATTAAATCGAAAGCCGAAAGATGATGATAATGTTGCATTGCAAAATGATTCTCAATATTAATTTCTTTATCGATTTTCAAATTTTCGTGAAAATCTTCCACGTTTAATTCCGGTGATTTAACTTCTTCTTCAAAGATATCTTTGGATGCTTTATTTTCTTCCTTCATCAGTTCCAAGATCTTCTCTTCAGCTAATTTTCTTTTCCTTTGAGCTCTACTACTAGAGACGGCATTAAAATGGTATCACTAAGTTTACGTTCAAGTGATAAACTAATAAAATAAGACAGTTCAGTGTTAACAGGAAGTAATAACCTGATATCACTAATATTACGTTCAGTGATGAACTAATAAAATAAGGCAATTCAATATTAACAGAAAGTAATAACCTGGTATCACTAAATATTATGTTCAGTGATGAACTAATAAAATAAGACAATTCAATATCAACAGGAAGTTACGTTCAGTGATGAACTAATAAAATAAGGCAATTTAATATAAACAGGAAGTAATAATCTGGTATCACTAATATTACGTTCAGTGATGAACTACTAAAATAAAGCAATTCAATATTAACAGGAAGTAATAATCTGGTATCACTAGTTCAGTGATGAACTAATAAAATAAAAATACGCACGATTATTCGATCTCGCCGGTGCCTCCAAAAATAATTATAACTGTGATACTTCTTTAGCAATTGGAAGTAAACTCCAATGATGGAACACAGCAATAACTTTTATTTTGCACTCAAAAAAATGGCAACATACAAACAAGAAGAGAAAACATATTCTAACATTTAAAAATAAATTACATTCTTCGTGCGAGAGTCGCACGTGGCACTCGAGTCTGGTTTCAAATATTGCCATACACAAATACCTTAATGTTCATCTATTTAAATTTTAAACTACAAAATTTTAATATTATTTAAAGCTGTTACAACTTTGAGTGATATGAAACACTATCTATATGCTGTTTTATTCAACTTAAAGTCCCATCAGTCATTGTTCCAAGCAAAATTGCCAGCGTTTTAGAAATTAATTGTATAACACACTTATTAAGCAGTAAGAAAAATCCTCTCTACAAACATTTGTTTCAATTTTTCTTTTAATTGCAACAGTATTTTTATTTGTTTAAACTATACATACATACTTTATATGTAACATATTTTTACATAGGAAGTTAACTTTGCGGAACGTTATTTTGAAATACGAGCAATGTATTAATGATGTGACACCGGCATTCGGCAAGGGTTTCATGTATTAGTATTCAACTGCATATATATATGTTTAGTGATACAATTTAACATATTAAAAATTGATGTATGTCTTGAAAGTAAAACTTCAGAAATTTGCTTTACTCTGAGATTGTTCATTCTGTAGCAAATAATTTTTGGTTTTTATCCCAACAGTTGTCATTGCAACTTGAGGTGGCGACATCAGATCAAAATTTAATACCTGTGACCATTCCTGTAGAAGTATTAAGGATGTTGCTTGTGAATATCTTATGCAGTGTAGCAAATGATCAAGTAAAAGTTTTGGAATCTTCTTCAGGTGATCAAGCAGAATTTATGGACTGTACTTCAAATGGTCGACATGAATTTTTGGAACCTGTTTCAGTTGATGAAGCAAACAGTTTGCGACATATATCAGACTGTGAAACAGGATTTTTGGAATGCACTTCAGGTAATCAAGCCAAAATTTTTAAATGCAATTCAGGCAGTCAAGCAGAATTTTTGGAATGCAATTCAGAAAAATGAAAATTTCTCTTTTAGATGAAAAAATGGGTTCTACGCTAGGTAATAATATATCAAGGGATCAAACAGCAGTACCTGATTCTTTATATTATCAAGTAGGATTGAAATTACCAAAATACAGTGAGCATTCTGTATGGATGGGTTGCCTTACAGACTCGGAAGAGAGTTATGATTTAAGTGTAAGTTCATACAATTTATACTTTAAATTTTTCATTTCCTTTGATGTGCTAACAGCCCCCCCCTGCAGTCAAGTAATAAGATCACTGAACACCGGTAGTTCAATCGAGGTGCAAATTCTGGTGAACTGGCTGCATGTCTAGGAGTTTTCATGGGTTTTTACATTTTTAATATGAATGAATATGAACAAATTTACCCTAAAAAATCTATGAAGACATCCGTTCATAGGCAGATAGCCTTCATATAGCCTATGTAATCCATTGTGTAATGCGAACATAAATTAATAGTTTTAATATGCACCTGTGTCCAAAAGTATCTTTATATGCATTCAAATAATGCTGGTTCATAAAATAACTGATCAGTTGGTATATTAAATGTGTAATTAAATATTAGAATTAGATGTGTTATATTATATATATATATTGATGGAAAGGGCAAAAACAAACTGCACGATTGTTACTCACTTCACTTTGATCTGTCTATACTTGCAATGCAGTAATATGATAATTACTTGACATTATCCAAAGGGCATGGAATTATAATCCTCCTCCTTGATGTTTTTGCAGAGTTTGAAATTATTATCTATCAAGTTATAAATCTTTAGTTCCAAATTATCATTTGGTTGAATCTTGGGAGCTGGGCTGTTGTCAGCCTTTTTTTTTTTTTTTTTGTTTTTTTGTTTTCCTTTTAAGAATTAAGACATGCAGTTCTGGAATTGGTAAGATGGCTGAATGTTTCAAACCGAACCATCTCTGCTTTCTGGAAGCAATTTAAGAACACTATCTGTTGTTAGGAAACCAGGATGAAGATTTAAAGTAGAAAAACAGCTGCTTTTGAAGACCTTTTTTTTTTTCTATAATTGCCTTCTTGAACAGGCTATGGATTGCTAGGCATTTAACATTGGAGAATGCTGTCGCCATTGCTCCAAAATTGTACAGAACGTATAATGAGTAAAATGCATATGCCAGTATAGTGGAAGGTAAAATCTTGAAATAATAGTGGAATGGAGAGGTGAAGTGTATTAGCTTTCATTCATTAAAATGCAAGTGAAGACTAAATGAACCAAAATTTACTCTTTTACTGACAATAAATGGACTAGCAACTGCTGTTGCCTCATATATTCATGTAAATATTTTTTTGGGAGTCCTTGCAGTGCAAAATAGATGAGTGAGCCTTGCACTAGAAAATTCGTAATTTCTGGCACGGGCACCTGAATCTATCTTAAAACAGAAGAATGGCTGTATATTGTTACAAATTTTGTACATAGATAATTTTAGTGAAATTGTTGTATTTTTTCCTGTATAATGTAACATGAAAATATTAAGAGCTGATGCTCTGCAGGTACAATAAGAATGCAGGGTCAAGTCTGTGTAACAATGAGTAAATGGCAATCTCTCTTATTTGGTGAGATATTCCCAAGCTGCCAACGGTACTGCCGACTAATTTTTGCGAGATATGTCCAAAAGTCGCTAAATCTGGTGACCATTTGGCGACATTGGGCCTTGTCCCTGTATAACTTTAATCAATACTGTAATTGATGCTGTGCGTCATAGTAAGCATATTTGGCCCTTGTATGCTTTTCAGTGAAATCAGATAAAAAAGAAGCACAATTAGATGCTTAAATTCATTGTTAATTTGTTACAATATTAAATTATCTATGCGGTAGATTTCTACATTTTTTAAAATATTAAAAAAAATTAAAAAGTAAGAAAATATTGTTGCGAACTACAAGTCCATAGTTATAGCTTTAAATAATCATGCTAGATAAACAGGAAGATTTTAAGAATTTATTATAAAAAATAATTACACACAGTAAAATATATATTTCGAGAAGCATAAAGTATTAGAAATATCTCAATGGCCAGGTAAAACCTATATAAGACCGGAGAGAGCATCAGTTTCTGAATTGTTACAGTTGTTAATTTAGTGTGAGTTCAGAGTATTGAAATGTTTCTGGGTTATCTTCACTCTTTAGATGCATTTTCCATTGTGTTTAACGTTGTTAGTAATTTGAAGTGTAACTACTTATTGTACTCTGTGATACTGTGAAAAGTTGTACGATTATTTTTATGGAAAGTTCCAGAGTGAAATGTTTCCTTTGATAAAATAAATTTTATCAACCTATCATTGGACCTGTGTGCATTCAGTCTAGTATGAACCGATATGCATGCAACAATTTTTGGTGTCAGAAGTGGAAGCGAATGCCAGTGACAGGAGCGATGGAGCAGTTAAGACAGCTGGTGGCAGCCTTTGCTGCATTCAAAGAAGGGATGAATGTGGTCCAAGAACCTATTAAAGAAGACATGGAAGCTATTCAGGTAAAGATGAGGTGGACACAGAATCCATTAAAGAAGAGGTGAAAACAGACCAAGAGGAGACAAAAGCAAGTTGTGAAAAGATAGAAGGGACCATCAATGCAGTTTAAGAAAAGATTGAAGCAGCTCAAGTGGAAATAAAGATGGAAATTACCGCCATAAATAGAAAACAACCGATACTATGAAAGGCAGAATAGAAATGGTTGAAAATAAAGTTTCAGAAATTGAAGAAAGATTTTCTGCTGTCAAACAATTGATCGAAGAACAATTTCAGCTGTCAAACAACAAATCAATGACAGAGTTTCTGCTGCTGTTTTCAAGACAGCATGAAGATATCCATAATGATAGCTGACACTTTTTAATTCTTACATATACTGTCCTGATCCTCTCTAAAGCTATTCACATATGTGGGAAAGAGCTCCAGACAAGTGTACAAGACTCGGTTCTCTGTAATGGCTAAATCCGAGGCTATGGAAAGCAGAATGGACAGGGTTGAAGACTTGGAGAAATTCAAGAAAGAGTTTCTACTTGGGAACAACAAATCAAAGAAAGAGTTTCTGCTATTCAACAGCAAATTGGTGACAGGGTTTTTGCAGCTGTTGCCAAGGAAGTTGAAAGCTGAACTGTCATTATGACACCCTGTTTTTCATAGATTTTATATAAAATATTTTAATAGCTCTCAGGAAATATTTTAATATAGTTCATTATTTAATCAATCAAGATCTTGATCTTAATAATTTTCATTATTTAAAGGAAACAGTTTTATTGTTCGCCTTGAAGTTGTTTTAAAGTAGCTTAATTTATTTAAAAATTTTTATGCAGTGAGATTTTGCTTAGTTTTATATTTGAATTCATCTTGTAAATTTCATGCATCTCTTCATCACGTCATCAGACTTCATTAGTTTATTTTCTTAGTTGGATTTGTAACTTTGTTCTGGTTCATTAGTATCATCGTAGTAATTGATTTTCATCTGTGTATTTTAATTAATATTCAGAATTTTATTCAGTTTTAAAATAGGTGATATAAATATGTTTGGTGCATGATAACCTTTCAAGTTTTGCACTAGAAAATCCACAAACCAATCAATCCAAAACATTGAAGTGATATTTTCTGTTACAAAGTGTTCTGACACCAGAAATGTTAAATGTCTACAGGCATTATCATACATAAATCCAAAACTCCAGGTTACTAGCACCCCTAAATAGCCATGTATGGAGTTTTAAGACATTACCTGCATATTTGTATCTGGTCACAGACCTCTATCAGACACCAAAGTCACAGTTCCGTGATAGTCACTCCATCAAAAAACATCACAGCTCAATGTAGCTCGTTTTTGATGACTGCTTCCCAAATCATGAAAAAGCTTCTATATGATTAAGGAAAGGCAAGTTTCACATTCCTAGCTCCATCAAGATCAAAACACATCTAGAATCACAACTCATGTTATGTCTAGACGTGTCAGTATGTTGCTGTCATGTTTAATTGAGCCAAGAGAATGTACAGTTTCTCTTGGTTCCATTAAACATGACAGCAACATGAATTGAAACTGGTTTACTTGGAAGATGAAGTGAGTGGGAGATAAACCATTAATGCTTTTCCATGAAGTCCAACCTCATAAGTTTCCTGTGGCTGATTCAAATTGTTACGGACAGCTTGAAGATCTAAAACAAATTTCTTGCAGTGGTTTCATAGCTTCTGTTAGCTGATAGTGATAAAAAAACAGCCATGGAATGGAGTTATTGCTCTTCATTGCCCTTTGCCAGAATATGTACAAACTGATTCACTGCTTAAAAAGGGATTTTAGGTTCTTAATGTGACACTTTTAGAGAGATTCAGATCTTATACTACCTCCATTTGTTTTTGCTCTCCTGTTCTAATTTCAGTTTACAAGTTCATCATAACTTTGGCTCTTTTCTTAAATGATGCTTTTTAGTCACAAATAGTGAATACAGATCACTCCCAAAAATTACATTTAAAGAGCATTACACGCCTGAGTTTCAGTACACATTTACTGAAAAGCATGTTGACCTAATTTGCATATTTTGTGTACTGACCTATGTACAGAAGTCCACTTTTGCAAAATAAAAAGCAATACTTTAAATATTTCTTAAAATGTGTTAAATATTTTAAAATTTATTAAATTATGTGCACGAGGAATTTTTTACACTCAAGCTAATTTTACATTTTTAATCAAATTATCAAAAAGTTTGAGAAATGTTAAGGTATGTCTTTACTTTAGAATCTGTATGTATGAAAATGTGGGATAATGGTATATTTTCTTTTTATTTGAGATCAATTGTAAAATATTATTTGTTCTAGAAAGTGTTATACATATTCCAGTTACAGGAGTTGATATTTAGAACTTTCTATATTGTGACATTGGTGATAAATATAAAAAGGAATCTGAACTGAAATATAAAATATCTTCCAAAGAAAGAACATTAGGTTGTTGTTATCTATTATATTTGATTTCTCGACATTTTAAAATATAATTATGTGAAAAAATTATATGTCCTTTTAAGTTTCATGTTGAACGTTTTTATGTTTACCTTGAAATACCTGTAATAAAAATGTATTGCATTTTTAGTACATTTATTTTAGAAATTTTTTAAATATTTTGATGTTTCTTCCTTCCACTTAGAATATAGGATCCTTTTTAAGTACTCCAAAGAAAGAAGAAACTGATGAAGATCTAGAGATAGAGAAGGAAGGTGAAACTGATGATATGAAACAAAATGATCCTTTCATTTCAAGTGCATGGGAGGATAATATAGTGAGTGTCAATCGTTTTTTTTTAGTTCTTTTGTCTGGCTTTTCAGAGGAAAATTTTGTAATGTGAATGTAACTTAAATTTGAAAACATTCTTTATAATTATAAATAAAGAATAATAAATTAAATATTCATAATAAAGCATTTATTTTCTATAATCAGTTTGTTGTATATATTGTTTAGAAATATTACTTAAAAGTAAAGATATATATATATATTTATTTTGAATCTTATGAAATATTGTAATATTACTTAAAAGTAAGATGTGCGTAATATTTGGAAAATGATTGTGCAGACGTAGGGAAGAAATAAATTTTAAATTCATTAAAAGAGCTTATTCATAGAGTATTATAAATTGTTTTTAAAACCAAAATGGAAATTCCTCAATTCAGTATGATTTAATTATAAAATTAATTCTTTGATATTAGATTCTCATCATCTGTTAATGATTGATTAAATTAACTGCAGTAGCTTAAGAAAAGGGGTAGGATACATTGTAAAATTTTTGGTTTTTTTCATCTGAAACAGAAATACTTGCTGATCACACTGTCTTAAATTACATTTACAAAACGTACATATACAAAAATAAAGTTTCATATCATTCAAATTGGTACATTTTCGTTTTTTTTGGTAAAATATTTCGCTCCTGAAAAAATAAAATTGCATCTTCTTCTGTGTTTGGCAAATTCCAAAGACCCATTTTCATAGCACTAAAAATGGCGCCAAAAATCAGCAAACAGCAAGGCAAAAAGGAGTCCAAAAGATAACTGCATGCGAACAACAGGATTGCTTTTTATTGGCGCATCAGTGCAACTTCTACTGCGGTGGCATTAATACGTAAGTACCAAACATTCTTTTTTCCTAATACAAAAACATTTCTAGTCCTCATTTGGGGAAACGAAAAAGATATCGGACAGCTGTAATCCGGGGACCTCATTGAAACTACTTCTCTAACTCAATCTGTTACCCTCCTGGGATTAAAAAAGTTTGGAGAAGTTGACATAAGTGTGTCAGCACATAAAACACTAAATTATTGCCAAGGTATACTCTCAGAGATTGACGTCCTGTTTATATTGGAAGAAGAAATTGTCTGTGAAATGTCTGACCAAAATGTCTTTGCTTCTAGGCAGATCAGGATGCGTAAAGAGGATCAGTTGATAAATGTAACTAAAAAAATATACCATATATGAAAGCAAGCAAATTGGTAACAGATACGCAGCTACCAAAAAAAAAAAAAAAAGTCTTATGCCAGTGCATTAAAATCTTTAAAATTAACATGCATGCAAACAGTAGTAGACATAGAGAAAGGAAAGATTTAAAGCCTGTTAGAAATACAGTGAAAAGTCGTTAATCCGGACTCGTTGGGACTTCGGCGATTCCGGATTATCGATTTTTCCGGATTATAGATCATCAGTTTAAATCTCGTAAGATGGCATGCAGAAATTATAAAATTAAAAATATGAAACCGTAATTTATGAAATAAAAGAACAATTATGATCTAAAGGGTATCAAAATTTGCAAAAAGAAAAAGCTTAATATTTATTTGTTTACTTAAATAAACATTTCTTTCAATGTAAGTTGTTTAAGTTTTGCTTCGTTTCATGTGATAATACTTTCTCTTTAATTCTATTAAACAGACATAATTTCTTGTTCAGTTACAAAGTTCCGCTGTTCAAGTCCTATAATTGCTGTGTCAAGAACACCGACTAATTTGTCAATCGAAATTTTTTCGTTTTCAATAACCTCTGTTACTTTTCTTCGCTATCGGAAGCGAATTATAATGACGAGGAACTTGTTTTAAATCATATCAAAGACGGAGCATATCGAGATGAAATACTACATTTGGTAAGGAATTATAAGCCAAATAAAATAAAAACATCTGATCTTCAATTATAAGCCAAATAAAATAAAAACATCTGCCCTGAAGATAAGGATAGTGCTGACAGATAACTTCCAATTCATTACGTTCCCCCCCACATACTTTTGCTTTAGATCCTTTACATGTTAACAAATATATATCGGAAATTCTATTTGATATAATCGAAAGTTTAAGCTTACTTTATAAAATTGCTCTTACAGTCTGAAAAAAATTAATAAGCCGGATCCAATTCGAAAATTAAGGAACAACGCAATCATCAACATTAACTGAAATAGATAATTAGATAATTTTAGCTTATACGTCCATTATACATAAAACGCGCACGCGAAAACGTATTCTGCACTTGCGCACACTCATATGCGCAGTCGTAAAAGGTCTTACGCACACGCGTAAACGTCTATGCGCATGTGTCAACGCGGCGCATGCGCAGAAAGTTTTTAGTTTTGAGGTCCGGATTATAGATCATTCCGAATTATGGGTGTCCGAATTAATGACTTTTGACTGTATTAAGTATGAGAGCATGAGCTGAGATGGAGATGGAAGATGGGCCGGATATCCTAAAACATCTTACTTCCACGAAACTAATAATAATAAAAAAAAGCACTGAAAGAGCAAACATCAATTTCAATTTGTACCATTTACTTGCCTCCAAGCCAGCAAGCACATTTACTAATGAGATTCAGACGACCTAATAGAGCAGCTGCCTGAATCATGTATCATAAAAGTGGACTTTCAATAGCCATAATCCATTCTGGGAAAGTAAGGCTACAAAACTTGAGGTAGACAAATTGAGCAAATGATTGAGGATCACTGCTTCTATCTCTTCAGTAATGCACTAGATGCCTACTTTCATGAGCCTGTTAGGACATTTCACACTCTTGATAAATTCACAATTTTTTTTTTCCATTTTGCACATTTAGTATGTTGGAAATGGTGCTTATAATAGTGATCATTTTCCCATTTTTGTATTATTGCATAAGAAAGAGCAAATCCATGTTGAGGCCCTCTTGTTTTATACTTGATAGGGCAGATTGAAGTCTTCTCATCACTTACAGAGCTCACCTAAGAGATGATAAAAGTGCCTGTTGATATGCAGTTAAAGCTGTTATGTATATTATCATTCAGGCGGCTGCACTATCTTTGCGTGCACTTCAACGAAGCTCTCAATGTATTCAAAACCATGATGGAATTATGAATGTCAAGAGACGCCAAGACATCAGAGAAAAGCCTGGAGAATTTTTCTTAGGTATCCTACTGTGTCAAATCTTATAGCCTTAAGGCAAGAAATGTAAAAAATTTAAAAGAAACAAGAAATGTAAAATGTTAGAGCCAGAAGGACTTGTGGATCTCATATGTGTCATCAATATCATTCTGTATGCCAAGTAAGAGTGTGGTAAAAGTTAAAGAGGCATGCAGACTATATAAAGACCACTTGTTTTCCTTTCTGGAAAAAATGGCCAAGTGTCTAGTGGTACAGAAGAAATTGTGAACGCTTTTGGGAACATGCACTTATAAAGCCTTTGTAAAATTGAAACCATATCTTTGTTCTCATATAGAAAAGGCATATGATAAGGCATGGAGATACAGTATACTCGGCAGTCTTCATGACAGTGGATAAAGTCAGTTACTTTATTTCCACTTATTCCTAGATTATACTCCTCTTCAAACAGATAACATAAAAGCAAAAATGCATCAAAAAAGATTTAAACTACTGCTGTTTTCTACCTGATACAAAGTACATTATGCAGTTTTTGAGGCTAAGAATTCCTAATTCCCTCTTCAAAACTAAGCCTTTCCCAAATTTTATGAAATGCAAATAAATTTGGATAAGAACATTTGATTCTCTTAAAAAAATGATGCCAACAATTTTAAATTTAAGAAAACGTAAACCTGAACGCAATAAAAATTATTTACAACAATTATCATTTCCCTTAAATCTGTCAGCGTTGGATCAGCCAAACGTGAAAGAATATCAGCTTTTCCCTCAATATCTTCTACGGCCTTGTCCATCATCAGATTCACAAACTGGGAGTGCTGATGATAGAGTTTCATCAAATTGACATTAAAAATGATATCACTGTTACGGTTAGTGGGAATCTCTACGATATAGTTGGTTTCAGAAATCACCCTAGTTACTCTCCCTGGCCCTATCCAATTTACCACCATTGAGGATTAGATGTGGCTAAAACAAGTACAAGACCCCCTACCTTAACCTTTTTGTAACAGTCTTGTGATCATACCAGTTTCATTTTACTCTAACACTCTTTCATTCTCTCTGCAACCAGTTCCTAATACTTTTTTAAATCTATTTACTAAGTCCAAAACATACTTGACCACCCTAGAGTCTGAACTTTCTCCCTCTAGCCAGTTTTCTCATACGATCGTTTGGGGCATTCTCAAATTTTTCCTTTGTACTAACTCACAGAGCCCGTAAAACCTGTGCTCTCATAGCTGACAGTTCTGAAGGTGAATTATGTGAATAAAACTTTGAAATTATTATGAAAAACAATGAGCTTTTTTAAAATATTACCATTTCGAGAATAGTTTATAATAAAACAAAAATTTCCTAATAAATATATAATATTTTAAATATTAAATTACTATAACTGGAAGAGAATAATGTCGATGTGTAATTTATAATCTGGTTAACATTTTAATAGAAATAGAATTTTGGTGGGAGAAAAAATATTTACCAGTTTTAGTTAATGAATTAAATTTTAATCTAGTTCATTGGCAACCATTTGTGCTGAGTTCACTTCCAGCCAAATGGGCTGGCTGCATGAGGTTTTCATGGTTTCTCCCATGTGTGGCATGAATATGATTCAGTTTCTCTTTAAATGTATTCCATTAATGTATCCGTTCCCTTAGGCAGATAGCCCTCACATGCTTTCCTGTAATTAAATAAACCAAACCAACACTAATTTAGTTCTTCTCAATGCTTTCAAAATTATAACATCTTGGCTTTTTCATGTTTTATTACTGTTTTCCTGAACAGAATGATATTACTTTCATCATCACTTTGCTCCATTTGATTTCATTATAAATATGGTTGTTACTCCTCCTGGCTTTGCAAATTTATTTATTTATTTATTTATTTTTTTTGGCTCTTAAAAAAGGACCTTATTTATTTGATCTTGAAAATAATAGTTTTTTTCAAAATCTGTACAAATCTAAAATCGATGTTTTGGCATGCAAATTGGGGCTTTAATTTTTAAGTAAATTGGTTTGGGTATACTTTATTTTTGGCATTAAATTAGTCCTAAAAATATTCATTATTTTTGCAAAGTATCAATAAAAATTACATTCATTCTTATTAATAGAAATTTGGTATCCATTTTCTTAAAAATATCTTTAAAAAAGTTATTTAAAAACTAAAATTAAAAAATTTATCTTGCTTATAATATTGCTTAATATAGTACAAAGTCCGAAATCCGGACTCATCGGAACTTCGGTGATTCTGGATTTGGGATTTTTCATTAGATCATCAGTTTAAATCTAGTAAGATAGCATGCAGAAATTGTAAAATTAAAAATATGAAATCCTGATTTATGAAAAAAATTAAGCATTTATGATTTTAAGGGTATCAAAATTTACCCAGGGAAAAAAAAAAAAAAAAAAAAAGCTTAATATTTGTTTGCTTCGTTAAACGTTTCTTTGAATGTAAATTGTTTAGGTTGATTTACTTTTTGTGCTCATACTTTCTCTTCAATTCTAACATAATTTCTTGTTCACTTACAAAGTTCCACTTTTCAAGTCCTGTAGTTGCTGTGTTAAGAATTCCGACTAACTTGCCAATTGAAATTTTTTCATTCTCAGTAACCACTCTGTCACTTTTCTCACTATAGGGAGCTCACTTTCTTCACTATCGGGAGCAGTATTTTCTGCATCTAGAACCATACTACAGATTTCGCTATTCATTAATTGATTAATGATTGAAAATCATTGTCATCACAATGAAAAACTTCTTTTATATGATCTTCATTTATTACCACTTCTCCACATTTCTTTACAAAATCTGTTAATTAGAAAATTTCACCTGTGTTTTGTGATACCCGAAACCTTTAAAATTAGCGGCTATCATCATCAAAATTAGCTATCCTTCACTATACATATTTGGCTATGCATCATGAACTTGGCGAATAACAAGTTGTTCTGTTAAATTTTATCTTGCTTCTATCGCACACTGAGACAATTAAGCCTGAATTATATTAGTTATTTATTATATTTAAGTCCATTTCTTGCACATGCTTAAGGCTTATGAGAGTTCTGAGTAAATAAATTCCCACATATACTTAAGCCTTATTGAGGGCCGGCACTAGATATCTTACCGCCTGTTGCAGTCTCTGTGGGTTCTAAATTTTGCGACTCGATGCGGCCAAACGAGCCCTGGCGATAATTCTGGGATTGTGTGAATAACAAATCAGTTATTCTTAATTCAAATAGCCCTAAATGTAATCTTTAGGTCTATGAGTATCATCAACAAAATCTATTTTTAGCATATGACAAGAAATGTTTGGTAAGTTTTTCTTTATCAGCATTTTTTATCGCTTTTAACTTAAATCTGTAATCATCGCCAAGCTTAATGTCAACATAAAAGGTTACCATACTCCTTTATTATTCAATTACTAACATTAAAAAATTGTTTAGTCATCGCTATACGAGTTATTAATCAAGTTGTCATGTTTTGATAAACATGCGGTGATGAAAGGAAAGTATAATAAATAATGATTCGCCAGGTGTGCGTCAGATCAACAATGTATCTATGTGGAATGTTTCGGTTTGAGATGTGTGCCAAGCAGATATGCAGCAATGGAGGCAAATCACTGATCATACAAATTTATGCTGAAATGATTGGCAAGATATTTTATTTGGTGTGGAAGTGAAATTTAGAATCGGGACTCTCCAAAAGTTTTATTATGTGTGCAGGGTGAGGAATCAAATGCGCATGCGTAAAGCCTACAAGAAAAACAATTTTGGTGGTTTTGAAGTCAGGATTTTAGATTATTTTGGATATTTTATGTCCGGATTTTGGACTTTGTACTGTATTTGCTACAAGTGAAAAAAACAGTGATTTTATGAGAAGCTGAATTTTAAAAAAATGATGTTCACTCCGTGAGTTACATTGTGTAAAAAGTCATTTCAAGCATTTGTTTTTCTGAAAGTTCTTAAAGTTGAATCTTAGATTTTTTTCCCTCACATATAGTCTGCTAATGACCTCACCAGTGGCTGGGTTGCTAAGACCAGTGAATACTGATGGTTTGATTCCAAGTAAATAGGCTGGCTGAATGATTGGTTTTCCTAGTTTTCCTAATGTGTAACATGAATACAATTCAGTTTCTCTTAGAATGTCCTCCATAAAGGCATTTCTTAGGCAGGCTTATATGAGTGTAGAGCTAATGTGAGCTAAGAGAGTGTTCTTAGCTGTAATCTAATAATTTAACCTAATCTACGTTAGCTAATGTTACTACTGTGGTAAAATATGGGAGAGCATCATTATGCTAAATTAATATTTCATGTATTTGATGCCATTTAAAAATTGTTGTCTATAAAAAATTCCATAACACTTCCAAGAAATATCTGCCTGAACAGATACAACTCTAATGATACGAGTTGTTAATCTGCACTACCTTGTTATTATAAATCTTTTACTTTCTTCAGTTATCATTTGGATATTCATATCTGCCTGATAACAACTGTTGTGATTCTTAATGTTTGTAATTTTTTTTCCCTACGTTCCAAAGATATTTTAAATAGATTTAGATAATGTGCATGCCATGTGAGCAGTATTTCTCAAAGTCAAAAAATTAATATATTAGAGTAGGGACTTAGTTCTTTCATTATGTGAAGTTTAACTTTTGTAGAACTCTTCATTAAAACTTGAAAATTGACTTTCTTTTTATTTTCAGTCTGATAGCATCCTGTCTGCTTCAGAGGTAAGTTTATTCCAATGTTTGGACGTGTTTAATTTTTATATAGTTCAGATTTTTGGTGGTGTTCCTCATTCTCTAAATGTTAGGCTTTTTGTGTGTTTATGAATATTTCCAGTTCTTAAAGTAAATACATTTATTTTTAATTTATAAGATCCTTAATGTGTGTTACAGAGGCCCAGTGGTCCAGTGGGGCAGTGGCTAGCGTGTCACACAGCAGCACCACAGGTCCAGGGCCTGGGCAAGGATATCTTAGCCTTTTATCCCTGGAGTGGTTCGATAAAAAGAAGTACCAAGTTTGCTTGGGGACTAAACATTGGGGGGTGGGGCTTGCAACAAGCTGACCACTTGTCAGGCTGAGATAAGTACCCCAGAACACATGGTTTAGAAAGCAGATATCAGGGCACTGCCGGGCATGGCTCTCTAAGGGCTGTTTGTGCTGCTGAGTATAGTTTTTAAATATGTGTTACATAAGTTTTGTTTTTTGTGATTACGAGTACAGTTTAGATACAGAAACAATGCATTATTTTACTTTTTGTAAAACTATTAGTAGCATGAGAGAATTCTTCATTGTTTACCAGTCAAATGGAAACTGATGAATTTTTTATTGCAATACCATGTATGGTGTTTCTAATACACATGTGTGTTTCTAGGTGTCTAAATTGCTAGTCTTAATGTTTTGCTTTGACTATAGAAATTCCTACACTATTTTGTTAGAAGGTGATATGTCTTGTTATCTTGTGCTATCTCCTAATGTTGGAAGTCAGGTTAATTTTTTCTGTACCTAAGTGAGACATTTTGCCCTGTACTAGTTCTAGATGTTTTTGCTTGTCTTGAATTTGTTTACACATATGAGGAGATAGTAAGATTTTAAACATCTTCTGAATTGTGCTGGTTTAGCTAAGTCATTAATAATGTAGATTAAGTAGGCTAATTTACATTAGATTATTAATTCCCAAATACTATATCTGGGAAAGTGAAAAACTAGTGAAGGTTTGATTGCTTTTTTTTTTGCTTTATAAATACAAAATAGCAGTCTTAATACCATAAAAGCATCACTGCTTTGTGCGGTCATGAGATTTTTTTTATCATTTGATATATATTACCTTATTTTTAAAACTATTTTGATTTCTTATGTGCATTAATGATCTGTTATCTTACTAAAACTTTATAAAAACAGAGTAAAATAATTAATTATATAAATTTAGATAATGAATGTTTTTAAGTGCGTTTTTCATAAAAGATCCAAAAAGTAAATTGTTCAGACAGTTGAGCATGTGTGTATGAGAAGAAATACAAATGAAATGAAATCTATTTTTATGTTATATAGGGTTATAAAACAGACTCAAGCAAAACAATAGTACCTTGCACTTGATAATTGTATATATTGTGTAAGCTTTCCAAAATTATAAACCAGTGACTTCATGTGATTAACTTAGGAATGGAAATAACGCATTTGCTGTCAGAACAAAACTCTGTCAAAATGAACTACTCAAAGCTTTCCTTTTTCACCTGTTGCACTTCTTTTGACAAGGATAGCAAACATTTAATACAGAAGTTAAAACATTTTCAGTAAAAAGTAGTAAGTCATAAATTTGTGTCAAAACAGTATTTCTCTCTCCCCCCCTAAAAAAAGAAATGGAAACAGAGATAAGCTTTAGAAAAAAAATTATAACTTTCTCCAAATCAGAATAAAACTTTGTATTGCAGAAAAACTATAAAGCTAAAAATATAATTACGAATTGTTTCTTGATTTTTTTTCTTTTGTGCTGTAAGTCCAGATGAATGTGCAAAGAATCTCTATGAGTTAAATATAATGCTTCAGTATGTGCAGAGTAATAAATCATTAGATGCTAAATACGAAAAAAGAAACTTGTATACAAATTTTTACTGTATCGGTTGTAGTTTTAATTCCATATATATACTTTAAAATCATTATAAAATTAAAATTAATAATTTGTTAAATTTATTACAAAGAACAAACTCACTGCTTCATAAATTCCAGGATAAAAATTTCCTTTAATTGTGAAGGGGGAAGAAAAAAAAAAAAAAAAAAAAAAGTTCCAGAACTAGCAAAGAAATCTTGAAAAGTTTGTGTACAAGATTTTTTTTTTAATATAATTTAATCATTAGTAATGAAAGTAGGACATATGACCTGATTGCTAAATATTTAAATTCTTCTCATCTTGTCCTTACAAAAGCATTTCATGATTACTGTGTAGTGGTACACATCAAGTTATGGAAACTTTTATATGTTTTTACCCTCTTTTTTAAATGTTAAACAGAAATAAAAAATAAATTCTGGAATCTATTAAAAATGGTAATGGCTATTACCCTCTTTTTTAAATGTTAAACAGAAATAAAAAATAAATTCTGGAATCTATTAAAAATGGTAATGGCTATTATGTTTGCTTAAAACTCAACTTTTTAAAATTTTATTTATGACTGTGTTGTTGTTTGGCTGGTTTGACAAGAAAAGACTTTTTGATTTTAATAAAGCTGTGGTTTACAAGAGTATAAAACATAAAAAAAAAATTGCATTACTAATTGTATTAGACTTCCATTTAAAATTATCTCATTTTATATTTCAGGTGGATTTTACTTGGTCACTGGAGGACAGTAAGCATTAGAAACTTTATATCAAGTTATTTGATTACAGAACATTAAGGAGTACATTAAACTGAAATATTTGTTATAAAATTTGTGAATAATTAGGATAGATTATTTTGATTGTCTCAAATTCATTGCTAAATATGAATGTAAATATCACATTACATAAGTCTATTATTTATCTTCGTATGGAAGTTGCTAGAGGTCAAACCTGGGAGGATAAGTAATGTATTCTTAGTGTAATTTTGAATATTAGCATGTTTCAGATATATAGAATGAAATGTGTACTATCAAAAAGTTAGAAATATGAATCCAGAGCACTTCTTGATAAAGAAATTTCTGTTCAAGATTCAGTAACAGTGGTATTCTCTTATGTGCAGTAATTCCCAAACTGTGTGCTACACAGGATGTCGTGAAATGTTGAAAAACTCCATAATAAATTAATCAAGATATTTGGTCTAACTAAACAAAAGACAAAGTGAGAAGCTAAAAATATCTAGATTTTTCATGTATGGTTTGTTTCTACTTGATCCTGTACAAAAGTAAAATCACCAGCACAGAATATTTTTGAGTACAAGCCAGCAATGCTGCACCTTATTGATCATGCTATACATGATGAAAATCTAACCTGAGAACATGTACAAGGCTAAAACAACTTTCACAGTTTCTCATGGCTCATTCTGTGAACTTTTCTTCATATTGTTGCTAAAGTTAGCTCATCATGTTATTTGATTCACGTTTGCATTCACTGGCTTTCAGAGGTTGTCTTTTCCCCCGTAGTTGAAAATCCATCATTTTGTTTGGAGTCAAATTTCATGCAATTTTTACTTCACACAGAAATGCCAATCAAATCAGCAGCAAAATTATAATTTCGTTACTGGATTTATTAGGAAAATGCTTCTGCAATTTAACAAAAACATTCATAATGATAATCTTACTTAAACTGCGTAGTATTTTTCCAGCATTGTGAAGTTTTAAAATTAGAAAATGTATCAGAGATGAAGCAGATGCCATAACAATTGCTTTCTTTTCATCCCCATCAGTGAATGAATAAATGATTTGTTTTTCTCATCAAGAGTGGGATAAGGTTGGGATACAGGAATTGGCATTTTGCCAATTGATGCGAAGAAAAGGGGATGTTTTCATTTTGATCATTGAAGGATTGATGTGATATTTGCAAATTTTTAAATAAAAAGCTTTATGCAACATAATCTATCATTTCACACATTTTTTTTATTCCTTTTTCTTTGCTTAAAACATTTAGATTTTGTAGCGTAGTTTTTTGCAATAGACATCTCGAAATAGTAGAACTATATTCTGTGGCAGACTCGTGCACTTTCTACTACCTCAAGTGCTCTCAACTTAAGTTGACCCTTAGACATGTCGATGTGTGTGTAGACCCTTCATGACAGATTTGGACTGTTCTAGAAGATCTTGCGGAACGCGTATGAGCAAGCATCGCCAGTTCAATTCACTTTGTGAGATTTTAATCTAATTATAATGAAATTAATCTCAGTGCTTCACATAAATAAACAGTGATATATGTAACATAGTTCATGTAGTAAAGTTATATTATTTCTTGTCTATTGTCTTTGCTGAATACTTTTGTCATTTTTTTGCTCCCTTCTTTTATCATGGCCCAGTTTCGAACAGTAATAAAATTAATAGCGCAGATAAAGAAAGCATGTTTTCAACCAGTGGCACAACTGTGATGAAACAAAAATATCCTAAATATGAAGTTGTTTATTTAGAGTGTAGTTTTACATCATCAGAAATGAATGGTGAAGAGGGACTCCAGTGGGAACTGTGTATTAAAATTTTCTTAGCAGAGCATATGCTTCCAAGTAAACTGGAAGCGTATGCTTCCGAGTAAACTGGAAGCTTGATTTAGAAACTAATAACCGAGCATGGTTGGCAAACCTTTTAATTTTTTTGCCAAGAAGTTAAAAGCACAGAAACAACAAAATACACCTCTCAGGACTGCATCAATATCAAACAACTCTTTGCTAACATTTTACAAGTTGCTTACAAAATCATGAAATGTAAGAAGCCTCATACCATCCCAGAACTTATTCTATCGTCTGCTGTAGATACAGTGAACATGGTTGTTGAATCTGCTGGGAAACTGCTTGTAGAAGTGCCTTTGTCCAATAACACAATTAGTTGGAGAATACAACGTATGGTGGAGAATATCAATAATTAATTAATAGAAGATTTTAAAGGAGTGGAATTTGGATTGCAGCTAGATGAGTCTGGTTTAATCCAATTACCTAGTTTGAAAAATACTTTCAAAATGAAAATTTCAGTACGTTTGCATGGATTCAAGATCCATATAACACTAATGCTCTATCTGAACTTACTGGACTTACTAGTGGGGGAAAAAAGTAAACATCGATCTCTTATTGAGTTAGCTTGCAATAAAATTTTGAAAGCAAAATTTGGTAGCATGGAATAGACAGAATTTTGGATTTCAACAAAAGATAAATAATCCCTTTCAAAGTGGTAAGGCTTAACTGCTTTTAATTCCAGTTTTATGTCATGTTTGGATGAAGCTGGGTTTTCAGCGGCCACTGTAATGAAAAGCAATTATAGAGTAAAAACCAATGTGGAAAAGAAAATGAGGGTGGCAGTATCCACTTTAATTCCACGATTTGAAAAAATGTAGAGTGATTTGCTGGCACATGCAAATCACTATACATTTTTTCAAATCAAACAAAGCTTCTCTGTCTTCATTATTCAAATTTCTATTGTACTCACATTAATTATTAATTTAATGTTAATAAAATAAAAAGATAAATAATGAAGATAGAGTAGCTTTGTTTATTTTTATCTCTTACTTACGATTATTCATTACTTAAGTTAAGGCACCATGGAAAAGTTTTAATTGAAAAAACGAGCCTCGACTCAGAAAATTTTAGGAACCACTGCCTATGTGCACAAAATAAAACATCTTTTATATTAAAAAAAAAGTGCTGTAACATTCCTAACAATTTACTTTGGATCTTTTATACACTGGGCAGGTTAGATGTTTTGATTAATGATGCAATGGTGATTACAGCTTTCATTGCTCATAATGAACTTGCAGAGAATTCTGTTGTCTTCAATAAGTGTCATGTTGTGTAACTTCAGTTTATTTTTATTGAGAAATGGTTGGACATGAATTACTAGTGAGATGCAGCATTAAGAAACTTTTATGATAAGCTAGATTGTTGTGGATGACATCATGAGCCATTACAGTGAACAATTTTGTGCTATGCACAGATTTGAACTTGCGATTCTGTCATTTTGATAATTTCGTCATATTTTTATAATTACTGATATGTATGATCGAACTTGATCTGCAAAATGTTTGTTCTACACTCCATTTGCACTGAAATCTCACACGCACAGCTACTGTGAATTTTTTTATCTAATAAAACTTGCAGCATTTGTGGCATTATTCCATATCTTTTGAATTTATATTTTATAGTAGTCTTACCATGCAACTGTGCACATATATGCATTCTTACTGGAGCAATGAGACAGTTTTGTATAGATCTGAGATATGCAGCTTTCTTTGACCCATGCAATCTAGCATTTGCTATGTTTTATGTCTGTAGACGGGATATATTTGCATATGCTTTCGAATTATAGTTAAATAAATAAGCAATGTTAATTTTTTTAAATTGTAAAGCCTTTTTAGTGCAAGTGCAATCTCCTTCTACTGCTTATTACACTGCATTAGTGTATCAGCCATTTATATATTCATTTATTGCCGTTTTTAAATTTCAAATTTCATTTTATATTAAAATTTCATAAATTATTTAAATTGTCCACAAGCACCTAGTAATTGTATGACCTTGAAATCTGATCAGATAAAGGCTAAAACAAGCTGCAATTGTTGAAGAATAAAGAACTTAAACAAATTACTTCGAATAAAGGCATTTATTTTATCAGCAACCATTATCTATTTTTTATAATTTGACACTTTATTCCTTTCTGTACTTACAAGAAACAGGTTAAAAGGTAACTTCAAAATAGGCTGTAACTTTGCATTGTATATTATGTTATACATTTCTCCTTAAGTGTATGGGATCTAAACTGTCAAATGAATGGGAAGAAAATGCTGGAATAGACATTGTAGTTTCCTCAAGACAAATCAATTCTTTTTTTTTTTCCATTTGTATTTATTTTCCCAGTAAATTAGGTGATTACTAAAATTCTTTCAGCTTCTGCATAATGGTCCAGATCGATTTTAAAATTAAGATTTCATGACTGTCATTTGCATAAAGCATTGCCTGCAATTACTGTTAAAAAAAGTTCTCCAATTTTTCTTAATAAATTACTAAATTTTCCAAATTTTTTAAACTATTCAGTTGTCTTTCGCTATAAACTACAAAAAGAAAAACTCAGGTGCAACTTAAATGAAGAGTCTGATGCTGTGTTGCTTTTCTATTGTTGCTGTATTTATTTAACCATTTGCGCTACGACTAAACTTCATGGTTGCGGTGCCGTGCGCTACAACATAACAAGCGGTAAAGTATCTCATTTACGCCGCTCCGCGTCTGCGAGTGCAATCTATAGCTGTAACTCGAGAAATAAACAATCTCGTTGTTAGGCGACGTGTGCACCACGTTATTTTCATTTTTGCGATAAATGCCTATCGACGTGGTGTTCATGTCGCTCGCAGTTTGAGACGAAAGCATCTCGACGTGCGTTGCACGTCTTTTTAGTGCAAGTGCAATTTCCTTCTACTGCTTATTACACTGCATTAGTGTATCAGCCATTTATTGTCATTTTTATAGCAGAAGTTAGTTTCTGCCATGCTAGTTTTAATCAGTTTTAACCTTTTTGGTGGAAAACTTATCAACCCTGCATCTTAAACAAAACCTTAAAATATCTCTAGCTTAGTTGCTAAAACACTATTTGCTTGGTGCTGTATTGTTGTGATTTCAGTAAATTGGGGCAGTAGGAGTAATAGTGTAAAAGTACATGCTATTGTCTCGGATTACAAAATATGTTTTGAGAATGTCATATTTGTAGCTGGTCTAGAATACTAATGAAGAACATGTATATAGTATTAATAATTGATTGGATCATGTATAGTCTTAAAAATCTGATGTGGACACCACCTGACGAAGCAACTTAATCAACTTACAATGAAAGAAATGGTTAATAAAGTAAACAAATAAATGTAAAGCTTTTTTTTTTTTTTTTTTTTTTTTTTTTTTTTGTAAATTTTGATACCCTTTGGATCATAATTGCTCTTTATTTCATAAATTACGGTTTCATATTTTTAATTTTATAATTTCTGCATGCCATCTTACCAGATTTAAATTGATTATCTATAATCCGGAAAAACCCATAATTCAGATTTGCAGAAGTCCCGATGATCAGGCTTTGATTTACTTTGGATGTATGGTATGTGGATTCACAAAATTGAGTAGAAAAATTGAGATAGACTGACTACATAATTGACATTAGTGGTTTGCTTGTATAAAGATAATCATTAAAAAAACCATTTAAACCATTCAAGTTTATTTACAAACAATGAAGACAGTAGTTCTGGATTTATTAATTTAATTTTTAATTGGGAAATATTAGAAAAACCTATTCATAAATGTAGAATGTTGTAAATTATCATAATGTTTAATATGGAGATTTCATGTATTTACCATTCCATTGTTATCTCATGGAATGTCTTGCATAAATAATTTCTGAAGTTTAAAATCAGAGAGTTAAATGTAGGAATAATTATCTAAAAATTATTGTATTTTAATCAGGTAACTTTGAAGGTTGTCTTTTGTCTACACAAATTTTAGTGTTAATTTACACTGCTGGCCACCCAAATTGCAACACCAAGAAAGACAAGAGATATCACAACAAAATTTATTTAGTAGATAGCATGTTGACCAAGTATCAAATGATTAAATTTATAGACTTCTGTGAAGTGTGGCTCCTTCCAGAATCAGTAGCCAGAGTAGCTGCCATTGTTGGAGATCACCGCTGCCACATGCCTCACCATTGATTCAAAGAGACTTTGGATGTGTTCTTGGGGTACAGCAGACCAAGCAACTTCCACATGTTGCCAAAGTTGATCTGGTGTGGCAGCTTGGGATGTAATCTGGGTAAATCATTCAGCAACCATGGGCCACATGTTTTCTATCTGCGAAAGATCTGGAGAGCGAGCCGGCCAGGAAAGCAATTCAATCAAGTGATTGACAAAGAACCCTTGGACAATGTGTGATACATGTGGTCACGCATTATCCTTTTAAAATATAGCTGTGGGCAAGCCCTGAAGGTAAGGAAGGACAACTGGCTCCAACACCTCGGGAGATGTAGAGCTGGCTGTTTAAAGTACCGGCAATGCGTACTAGAGGAAAGTGAGAGTGATATCCAATACTGCTCCATACCATAATACCCGGTGCAGAACTGGTGTAGTGGTGCATAATACAGCTCTTCAGCATCCTCTCTCCACTGTGTCTCCAGATTCGAATCTGACCATCGTGGTGTTGCAGACAGAAGCGTGACTCTTCAATAAAGACAATTTCGTTCCATTCTGCTGCCCACATCCTTCTTTCATCACACCATCGGCGGCGGAGACGTCTGTGGTTCTGCGTCAAGGGTAGATGAAGCAATGGACGTCTTGCGAACAGACCACTATGCTGTAAACGGTATCGAATGGTACGCACAGACACTGGATGATGTGTTACTGACTGAATGTGCTGTGCTATGGTTCGTGATGTGACTGAGCGATCTGTCACTGCTATGCGCACAATGTTCTCCTGTCATCACGTGAAGTGGTGTACCGAGATGGAGGCGATCAAACACGTCGCTCCGTTGTACCTTCCTGCATCTAACAATCACATATCCGCATTACAGTTATTTGGTTTCCTCCAACACGACTACCAATTTGCCTGAAAGATAATCTACACTCTCGGTAGGCCACTATCCTTCCTCTGTCAAATTCGGATACTTGATCAAACGATGATCGCTGTTTATTACGAGGCATAATTGATCGTTTTTTTGAAAAACCTCAAGAAAAACCCAAATTGCCGAACTTGAAATCGTCGAAAACTCCAAGCCTTAAATGGCGCTTTGAAGTGGCGCCACAGGCGCGCACTGACATTCGTCTGCGCTGAAATTCTAATCATTTGCATATCTCACCTTCACTAATGCATGTTGTAAATTTCATGTTATTTGTATGCTTCCTTCAGGGTGTTGCATTTACGGTGGCTAGCAATTTATTTATGTGAGGAGATCATAAATTAGTGGTTAAAGCCATGCACAGTCTCATAACAAAAATGAAATATGTTTACAACATTAAGTGCACATTACTTAAGTCTGAATTTTTGTGAAATACTATATCTCAGTCAGTAACTTGCTGACAACTCTAAAATGCTAAATACTGTATTTGACAGCATATAAGACGCACTTTTTTTCCTAAATTTGGTCTCAAAAAAGTTACCTGCGTCTTATACGTGAAGGACACTGGTTAACTTTAAATACTGAATGCTATTTTTAGCCTGGATAAAGGTCTAGACACACATAACTTTTTGTACATCTGCCATAATTATTTTATGCATGCGTAAAATATGTGTCGCCAAAAAGTGCCAAAGCTCAAAGCTGATGTCGAAGTTCGAACAGGTTCAATGGTCACATTACGTCTATGGAGCCTTTCCTTCTTTACATAGACTTTCTTTGACTCAGCCGACACACGTGTCGGTATATGTGCTACTCTGTATAAATGTGTCAGTATCGGTGGTTAAAACTGTTTGTTTTAAAAAATACCCTGGAAAATATAACTACAGGAAACAAAAGATTAAGCTATACAATTCAGTATAAACTAGGAGTGTTAAACTACGCCAAAGTGCATTGAAACAGAGCAGCAGCAAGGGATTTCGGTCCACCAGCTACCGAAAAAAAATAGCTTGCCGTTTGTTAATTTTCCTTAATAAAAATATGTTTTGTAATTGCATTCAGAAATTGTTTATTTGGCTTTTACGAAACATGAGAACTAAAATAAACCACATTTAAAATTTTTGTGGTACCGCGCTGTCGCGCAGACTATTGAAACTTTTTTTCCTCGTGTGTGGCCGTCTAAATAAGTGTGCATCTTATATGCCGTCAAATACGGTACGCATCTTCTTTTGAATATCTGTTTTTACCATATGTTGGGTTTTCAACCGGTGGTACACAAGAGAAAAAATGGTGGTACGCAAAGAAGCAAAGTATTTTTAACTATTAAATTAAAACCCTAACATTCTGTTTGAGTTTTTTTCTCTAAAAATCGTAAATTTATGCAATTTGAGCTTTGTTCAAGAGTGGTGGTGGTAGTAGTACTTTGTAGTGGTGGCACTACAGGTTTTCAATTTTTGTTTAGATGGTACGCATTAGTCAAAAGGTGGAGAACCATTGGTGGCGGAGACGTCTGTGGTTCTGCGTCAAGGGTAGATGAAGCAATGGACGTCTTGCGAACAGACCACTATGCTGTAAACGGTATTGAATGGTACACACAGACACTGGATGATGTGTTACTGACTGAATGTGCTGTGCTATGGTTCGTGATGTGACTGAACGATCCGTCACTGCTATGCGCACAATGTTCTCCTGTCATCACGTGAAGTGGTGTACTGAGATGGAGGCGATCAATTACGTCGGTCCGTCGTACCTTCCTGCATCTAACAATCACATATCCGCATTACAGTTGTTTGGTTTCCTCCAACACGACTACCAATTTGCCTGAAAGATAATCTACACTCTCGGTAGGCCACTATCCTTCCTCTGTCGAATTCAGATACTTGATCAAACGATGAGGCATATTACTGGAATATGTCATTTTCAAAGTTGCCTGATTGCATAGCTGATTTTCTTTTGTAATAGTAATATAAATTTTAATATTTTAAAAATTTATTTATAGGTTAATTAATACTTGTTTAACTTTCTTTTTCAGAACCTTTTATGTGAAAATACTGTCTCAAGAAATGTTTTAAGTGGTAGTACTGGAAAGCAGTGGAAATTTTTACTTTTCAGTTTTAGTGATTTTTTTTTAAAGTTATAATTTTAGAAATACATAGATAAGATTATAAGATTATTTTATATAGATTTATAGAGGTATGGTAGAAATGTATTGTTGATACCTAAAGATTTTATGTAGAGATTTTTTAAATATTGCTTATTAAGTTCATTAAAAATTTTAATGTGCTCTGTTTCCTGTCTCGTTAATTGTTAGTGGTAAACAACTTTTCCATATTGCTGATAATTAACTGAACCATTCATTTGAAAGCTCTATAATTTGGTTTTTATTGAAAACAGAACAAAAAAAATATTTTAAAAATTTTCTTCGTGTAGAAGGTATACATACATATGTGAGTAATGATTATTCTTAGAATGGCACCTCATTCTTGGTTATGTTTGCTATTCATTAATTTTATATAATCAACCATTTATGTTATTTTCATGTTATTTAAAATATCGATTAAGCTCCTGATGTACTTGAAATATAACGTCATCTGTAGCATGCTAATTCTAGTTTAGGATGTTACTTGTGTGAAGGTTGTGGATTTTTACTAAGTAACCTTAAATCTTTATTTAATTAAATATTTGTATATTTATTAATTTTTTCATTCTGAAATACAAATTTTATTTCCTGTGTTTAAGGTGACTTGTTTGAGAGGAATGTGCATTTTAATAATATTTGTTAAGGTCTGTAGTTTTTAGTTTGCTAAAATTAAAGCCTGTTAGTGACTAAAACTATTGAGCACTGGTAATTTGTTCCATTTGCAGTTGAGAACTGCAGGATAAGCTGGTTTCATGAATGTTTTTGTGGTCAACTGCAAGGTAAATATCAGCCCTTTTATCTTATGCGAGAGATAGTTTTTGGACAGATAAGTCAAGAGTGCTTAGGAGTAAATAATGTTTTGTTAGTAATTTAAAAAAAAAAAAAGACTTTCATTATGTAAAATACTTAAATTGAAAAAATTTAAATGTCTCATACGTTTTTATATTTTATATGTGGAAAATTAAAATAAATCAAGGAAACTTGTGTTGAAGTAAGTTTTGATTTGACCATTTGTAGGCCTACTTTCAAAAGCTTTTCATTGTAAGTTTAAAAGTTGCAATCATGTCAGAGATACCTTTTAATAAAATAGAAATGTTAGAGAACCTATATGATTTAAGGTAAAAAATTCATCATAAAAGTTTTCATTACAAACCTGTTTGAGACATCAAAATGTCAGATGAAGAGCTTGACACATTTTACCTTTCTGGGAAAAACATTATGCTATTATCAACACAGTACTTTTGTCTAAATGTAATATGAATAGTGACCTGAGAGAACATGCTAGGACTACTTTGAGCGAGTAAAATCTGTTGTAATTAAGAATTTTGAAAGATTACAATCAACTGATCATAGTGAAGCTTTGCATGCCCAGTTTGAAAGCCTCAGATATGAAACCTTTTTAAGCTGATATGGTATTGCCATCTAGGGAAGAAAATATAAACTTTCAAATGATTGTAATTTTTTTCTTTCAGCAGCTGCTGAATTGGAAAATATTTCATCTCTTGATTTAAAAAAATCTTGAATGAAAATATTAATCCTGCGGAAAAGAAATTGGCTATTAAAAATATAAGGGGATTTCTAATAATTAGAATTTTTATACAGTGTTATTCCTGTACTTAATTGTGGTAAGCAAAAGCATGAAGTCAAAAAGAAACCTTAGCTAATTTCTTCTGTTTCATTAAGGGCAGAAAACTTCTGCTCTTATTAAAAATATGTCAAATTAAATTTATGATAGATCTGTGTTAACTGTTCTCTGTGATCAAAATCCTGATGTGTTTGGTGATACTGAAGGTATTAACGACATAAAATTATGTTTTGCTCTTAAAAAATTCCAGACCTTGGAACATGTTGTTGTCGAAATGAAATCCAAGCTGTACTGCAAATGTCTGTCTTTGGATATTTGCATTTTGAATGGCTGGCTTGTAGGGGATTTTATTATAATAAACAGATCATTTAAATGCCTTCGTTGCAACTACAGAGGAGTTTCCTGTGAAAACTCTTCTGTAGTTGCAATGAAGTAATTGCTTACTTACTGCAATTGCTTACTTCAGGTGTGCCAAAGAACATAAAAATGAGCACTTCTAAAATCAGGAAAGCTAAGCTTGTATTAACTGCATCTATTTTAATAGCAAAATCAGGAATGCTACCCAGAAGGTTGATGCCAGGCATAAGCCTTTTTCAGAAAATTGTCGTTCTGAGAATTTAATGAAGAATAGAATTATTTTTCAAATTAATTATGACTAATTCCTCATTTTCTGTTTGTAAAATTATTCAGCTTAAATTCTGACATTGATATCGCTTTATTCAGGAGCCTTACTCACATAAACACTCTCTTCCCAACTTGTCTGCCTCGTATACGGTATATTTCGATGCTAATCGTGATATCATTGAAGCTACTGCTATCGAATAGAATCACAAGTTCTCTACTCTACTTGACATTTATAATCGTGATTATAATCTGTTTTTTTCTTCATGTTACTCTCCATACTTGCAATTTTATTTTTTTCTCATATTATTTTGAACTTGACAGAAATACTGATTTAGATTTGCATAAAATTAATGGAGCATTTACATTAAAAACAGTAGTAGATTGATTTGGGCTATGGATGCCAATAGTAAATCTAAAACTTTGCATAGTCCAATTCCGGATTTCTGAGGTGTTAAGCTTTGTGAATTTTTAAGTATGAATAATTTTTTTATTATCATTAAAGACTGTGGTTGTACTTTTTTGTCATATGCAAGGTTCAAGGAATATTGATATTACTGTGTGGGAGCTGACCTTCTTGGAGATATTTTGTCTAGGTGTCAGTAGCCAGATTATGAATCCCTCTCTGATCACACTATGATTGAGTTTTATCCACTCACAGTTTCTAATTACTCTATGACAGAGAGAACAGCAAGATAGTCTTCAACATACAGAAAGCTAACTGGGATGTTTTTTATTATTCATGTAAGCAATCTTTTAATAAGCTCTCAGAGTTTATTGATTGCTGTAAAGATAAGCATGTCTTAGACAGTATCCTAGAAATCTATAATGCATCAAGGTTTCCATACCTGTCAAAAAGTTAAGAGTTCACAAGGCACTTTGACGAACTATTGAAATTGAATGCATGAGAAAACAGGTTAATGCTGCTAGACGTAGGTTTCTACGAAATCATAATCCTACTTTTGGAGACCTGTATAAGCTAAAATATCTACACTAAGAAATACAGTGACAGTTCAAAGCTCTAGGATGTATAGTTTAACTGGGAAAAGATTTTCTAATGAAAATTCTTGAAAGGAATGTTTGAAAGAAAATTTATATGAATGTTATAAAGGAAAATTTTATGAAAAGGAAGCCCTACCAAAAGGCTCCAGCTCTCAGGGAGCCCCAAATTGTTCTGTAAACCATCATAACTTTTTTTCTTTCATAGAAAGGGGGAAAAAAAAGGAAATTGAATATTAGGGGTAGGAAAAGGAATATAAAGTCAAAGGACATATTATAATCCTTTCAAAGAACAGGGTGCCTTAAGTCCCTTGATCATCTTATTTGGGCTGTTTCCCACCTTTTTTTTTTTTTTTTTTTTTTTTTTTATTGTTAATGCAATGCACACAAAGGGTATTAAGGGAAAAGATGTCTTTGTGGAGGACTCTAACTGCTTAATGGGAGAAAACAAAGTGCTACATGGCTCGTATTCATGTTACTCGTGGGGAAAATTACAAAACCTCCCATGCAGCTGACCTCTTAACGAGTATTCAAACCCAGCACAAACTACCAGTGTTCATCCACTTTACCACTTACCTGCTTGCGGGCATTATTGGGTCTTGATTGGACCTTAATGTTATACAAATGGTATTTTGAGAAATTTTCGATCTTACTTGAATGTGAGTTGTGTATATTTGTGTAGTGATAACCTGAAGTTTATAATCCTCTGGAATGAATGAGTATGTGTTTTCTTAATCTATAATATTTTCTTATATTTATTTTTTTCTGTGTGTAATATGGATGCAATTTTTATTAATATTTATGATGCTAGATAAAACGTCAAAGATAAAAAGTCATCTCTTGCTTCATAACAATCTTCTGGCACTTATGGGGTCAATTAAATGCATGCTCTAAACTCATAGGTGGCTGTGAAATCAATTTCAAGTTTAATACTATTTTTCCCACTAATATTCATATCTTTTATAATATCATTACTAACTATTTTTAAAAAAATATTGTTATATTTGAATTTTTAATATATTTTGCTAAAGTATCAGTTAAATGTAACTGATTCATGTTTTCATATTTTGCCTCACTGTTTCGATCTTCTGTAAATTTTTCTGTTCAATAAATATCTTGGACTTAGAAGGCTGTATATTTTTTACATTGCATCAAATTAATACTGGTCTGAAAAGCTTCTTTAACTATTCGTGCATGTATATACTAACATTTTATTAAACTGGTTGACTGTAATTTCTTTAGCAAAGGCATCTTGAACTTGTGGATGTTCAGAGAAATATGAGTTTATGCTAAAATCTTACCTTCTGGCATAATTACATAACCAAATAAGTGATGAGCTTTCAGAATTATAGTATCAAAGCATTTTGTTTCATACAGCCAAATAAATCCTAATATCGTATACGTAAGCTAAAATTTCAGTTGACATTTTGTGAAGTTGCACATTTTTTAGATTATAAATATATAATAAATTCAAAAATGTCATCATTGATGCTGCAGGTGTTGAAACATACTATGGAAATACTTGGAAATCATGTAGATTCAATAAGAAGCAGTCATGGTAGATCCCATTTTCTTTTATTTTAATTTACATTTTAAGCCCCCAGGTAACTTGACACAGTAATTATATGCTTGTTCCAAAGCATAATGTATTTAATATTGATGCAGTAAGAAGAGAGTAGTGTGACAGCATCTTATTGGCAAGAGAAGCTAGAAGGAAGTGTGTGTGTTCAGAACAAAATCTTAATTTGGAAAGAATTGATTTTGATTTTCATATCATTTTGATTGGCTAATAAGTAACTCTTTAAAGTTATTGGCTGAAGACTATAAGTTATTTTCTCCGAGCATTATGTAAAAATTCTGTGACATGGATTAATTTGAAAATTACATTATTTAGAGAGGTTTATAAGTAATTGCTATTTTTAGAATACAAAAGGAAAGTTGGCGATATCTCGTCAATTCCGTGAGATAGTTTAAATCTGTTTGACTCATTGTCAAAGAAGGCCCACGAGCGGTAAAGTCGTTGAACACTGGTAGTTCGGTTCGAGGTTCAAATTCCGCGAATGAGCTGGCTGCACGGGCGTTTTCGAGGTTTTTCCCATGTGTAACGTGTGTACGAGCCAGTTTTCCTTAGAAAGTTCTCCACGCAAGCATCCCTCCCATTTCGCAGATAGCCCTCGATGCTTTGCCGTAATCACATAAACCAAACCAAAACAATGTCAAATAGATTGGCCCTGTATTCTAATTTTTTCCGGCAGACCTTCGCCTCTTTCAAGTATTTTATGCTCATTAATAAAAAATGTATAATTACTTGTGTGCAAAATTCGTAACATTGCTCTCTTCTCAAGGACTGCACGCACTGGCCAGTACAATCCCTGAACAAGAAGCCATACTTACAACAAGGAAAAAAATATAAAGTAATAATTTCGATAAATAGTATACAACAGATCAAACAATAAATGTATGGATTTATTGATTGTATTTATTGTAAACAACTAAATCAAATTATGTATAAATCAATAAATGTATGGATTCGCAGATTTGGTATACATAACAGTGCCCCGTTTATCGCATACTATTTAATATATACACTATGGACATAGTAACACAAGCAGACAAAGGTCACGACCGAAGAGCATCTGGGATGGGAATAGCCGGAAAGAAAAGGGTAACTTTTGATCTCACTCCTGTTGGTTTCTTGAAACCATCAGCGAGAGATTATTAAGGGGAGTCATCATCTTTACACATTCAAAAAAATCGATTTTTTTTTTTTCCCCCCCCATTTTTAGGAACTGTTAACATTTTTAAGTCTGTTAAAACAAACTGCGTTACGATAATCAAATTAGAACTTTAAAAATTATGAAATAAAGAAACGAATCTGAGGTAAATATTGTCAGATCGGGCATTTAAATCATCACTTGACGTTTGTTTATATTTGTACGCGCAGCTGCTTACGGATGTTCACTCGTAGATTGCTTTAATTTTTACTGTTAATATTACGTATAATCACCAATTTATTGGACCCACACGGGAAGACTCAAGAAAAAAATCCTTAATGTCGCTATTGAGTCGCATTCAAATTAGCGTTTCCAGAGTTTTTAATTAAGGAAGGTTCGATTAAACCTCTTTACCATGCCATCTGATTGTGAAAGTACTGTGATTATACTGGTGTTCTACTGCATTTAAGTGGTACTTTCCAGTAACCTAAGCTAAATCCCCGAAGGGCTTGATGGTGAAGAGGCATGAGATGAATCCCGGTGCAGGAGAGCATCAGTAAAATACAAGCTGAGAAATCGGCGAAAACTCATCTGAAAGCGGCCGTCATACGAGTTGTCATCTGGTGGTAGTATGCATGTAGGTGTCGAGTAGCTTGCAGAATTCTCTAATTACAATCGAGGTGAAACTATTTCCTTGATAGGAATGTAACTGAAGAGGCACTCCAAACCTGGAAATCTAGTGTCTGTATCACTGCCTCTGCTACCCTGGCAACGTCTTGATCAGGGTTGGGATGAGCTTCAGGATACTTCGTAAAGTAATCAATGATAAGGAGGATGTATTTGTTGCTATCAGCAGTTCATGGCAGAGGTTAGAGGAAGTCAAAGGCGAGACGTTCAAAAGCCGCTGCTATATTTCAACGTTGCAGATTCCCTCGGCTGCATTTCTGCTGTCCTTTCCGACTTGGACAAGCATCGTATGATTGGTACGACTTTTGCACGTCAGACCTTTCATTAGTCTAAGTACAAGCGCTCTCGAACTCTATTCAAGTCTTCATTATTCCGAAATGGCCTCCCGTCGGGCTTGGAAGTATCAGCTTCTATCGGAATGTATTAAGACGCCGTTTCGAATATGGAGCGAGTCGCAGAGAGTTTTTTTTTTTGTTTGTTTGTTTGTTTTAGAACTTAAAATCAAAATATACTGCCAAGTAGGTTTCCTATTTGAAGATTCCATTGAGACAATTATGGAGAGCAGTGAAATTATTATCATTTTGATTTTGGCAAAAAATTTGATAAGATCAGTATAATTATCAATATGCAAATCAATCGAAATAACATCAAATCCATTTATATCAGAATATGAATCGATATAATTTAATTTATTACCAGTATCAAAGTTGCGTTTATGCTGGTTAAAATAGTTCTGAATTTTTTCTTCCATACGAGGAAAAGAAGATAATCAAGACAAACCATACAAAAAGCATCTGAAAACCTCAGTTGGAAGGATAATGTAACAAAAACTGCCCAACAAGTTAACAGCATTTTTTAAAGAATCTCCGAATTCAATTTCAGTAATTAAAATTAGAACTGTAAACAAATATAGCTTCACAAATTAGTTTTTTGCACAATTAAGATTCGAAGTCTCCAATTTTAATGTATAATCAGTGTTAAAAATATAGTTTAATTCTGTTATAATACTCTAATCGCAAAAAAATCCCAAGAGAATTATTGATAGATTGGGTTCACCGTTGTTATAGACTGCTGGCCACCCAAATTGCAACACCAAAAAAGACAAGAGATATTACAACAAAATCTATTTAGTAGATAACATGTTGACCAAGTATCAAATGATTAAATTTATAGAATTCTGTGAAGTGTGGTTCCTTTCATAATCAGTAGCCAGAGTAGCCGCCATTGTTGGAGATCTTCGCTGCCACTCCTCGGCATTGATTCAAAGAGACTTTGGATGTGTTCTTGGGGTACAGAAGATTCCACACGTTGCCAAAGTTGATCTGGTGTGGCAGCTTGGGATGTAATCTGGGTCAGTCGTTCAGCAACCATGGGCCACATGTTTTCTATCGGCGAAAGATCTGGAGAGCGAACCGACCAGGAAAGCAATTCAATCTAGCGATTGACGAAGAACCCTTGAACAATTCGTGCCACATGTGGTCGCGCATTATCTTGTTGAAATATGGCTTTGGGCAAGCCCTGAAGGTAAGGAAGGACAACTAGCTCCAACACCTCGGAGATGTAGAGTTGGCTGTTTAGTACCGGCAATGCGTACTAGAGGAGTGCGAGAGTGATACCCAGTGCGGGACCAGTGTGGCGCTGCATAACGCAGCTGTTCAGCATCCTCTCTCTACGGTGTCTCCAGATTCGAATCCGACCGTCGTGGTGTTGCAGACAGAAGCGTGACTCGTCAGTAAAGACAATTTCATTGCATTCTGCCGTCCACATCCTCCTTTCATCGCACCATTGGCGGCGGAGACGTCTGTGGTTATGCGTCAAGGGTAGACGAAGCAATGGATATCTTGTGAACAGACCACTATGCTGTAAACGGCGTCGAATTGTACGCGCAGACACTGGATGATGCGTTACAGACTGAATGTGCTGTGCTATGGTTCGTGATGTGACAGCGATCCGTCACTGCTGTTAAAAATATATGTAAATGTGCCAGTCCCAATATTTACTTTATGAGAATTGGCAACAACAGTTTTGTTGTCATTCTATCCCTGTCTGGTGTGCGTAGCTGTGGTTGCTTGTTCCCATGTAACCTGATATTCCCAATATATTTTTATTTGTTCGACCTGGACTATGTCATTTCTTTAACCCACGACTAATCTCGATTTTTATCACGTTATCAGCACGAAAAGCTCAAAAGGAAATGCCATTATGATCCAGGATTGAAGATCGCACCGAAGCCTAACCGCGCCGATCGCCGAAGCCTAACCACGTTGTGAATCTGAAGTGAGCTGGATAACCATCCTTTAACGAAGTAAATAAAAATTGTTTTGGTTAATTTAGCTCGATATATTTACTTAAAAAATGACATCTGAAGATTATAAAATGCCGAAACTAAACGGCGATAATTATCACACATAGTGTATACGTTCGCGTGCCGTGCTGGTGCAGAAGAGATGTTGGGAAGCAGTGGAACCCGGATATGGAATTGAAATGAATGAAGCGGAGAGGAAAAAGAATGACGAAGCTCTTACCCTATTATTCCTCATAGTTGAAGATACATTTCTAGATGATATCGGAGATTGTATTAGAGCGAGAGACGCCTGGAACTGTTTAAAAGAAATGCATACAAATTCGGTTTGCTTCACGTACTGCAGCTTATGAGAGAATTTTTTAACATAAAAAATATGAAGCCAAATGAGTCTGTCCAATCCTATCTAGCAAGATTAATGGACT